TTATTTCTGCAATAAAACAAATGGGTTTACATAGCGTCTTTTGTGAAAATGGTTTTGCCAGTAATTGTGTTGGTTTTTCAGTTGGATGGATGGAAGCCCAGTGCACTATGTAGCTTGGGCAAAGAATGAGCCAAACTATGCGAATGCTGAAGAAAATTGTGTGGCCATGCATACAAATTTTGGTGAGCTATATACAACTTTTTGACATGTGTGTGTATACATGTTTCTCTGGCTATATCTTTTCTCCATATGTTTTTTAATTGGACTCCCATATTGGAGAAAAATAATGTACTTATAAGAAAAGATCCTCAGTCTTGGAGATGATATCCCACCCAAGGCAAATACAATGTTGGGCAAAAGCATAATCTAAAATGTGCTGAATGGAACTGGGCGAGCAGGGGAATCCAGTCCACTTTCAAAAATATTATTGCTCTGCAGATAACAAGGGTGAAATCCTGCTCCCACAGAAGCTGATGGAATTTATACCATTGACTTAATAGAAGCCAGGTTTTCACCCCCTTTTGATAACCAGAGTTAGTCTAGCCAAAGAATGGAAAACATAGGTAAGTGCATAATATGCATGTTGAGGTTTGTGTTAAATCCTGTTTTTATCTCAGACAAAGTCATACACAGCCTCTCTTTTAATTTGAGCTCTTGAAAATCGGGAAATGGTAGCTCCCAAAATTGAAACTGTCTCAGAATACTAGATGACAGTACAATAATTGCTTTCTGTACATCTTCCCCACATAACCTCTGATCTCACTTACACTGGAGTCCCGACACCTATATTGAGCACTACCCAAGAACTGGCAGGCTCGCAAAGCCTTTTTGCAAGCTGAGCAGGTGGGATGTTGTTTATAAACTTTCCAAGGACAGAAACTTGTGACAGTTGGCTTGCCACATGGTCAGTGGCATTCCCAGAGGAAATAAAAAGATGGGGAGGTGATAGATTTTCACCAGAAATGTCAAGCTCATCCAATGGCTTATTTTCTATATTTAAACTGCTTTCAGGTTTATGGAATGATGTCAACTGTGGCCATTCAAATGCCTTTATCTGTGAAAGGCATGGTAATACTATAAACTCAACAGTTGCACCTGCTCCTCTCGGAGGGTGTCCTGAAACATGGCATTTATTTAAAAATAAGGTATGATACCAAACGTATTGCATTGATTATAAGAACAAGGGAAATACAGAACTTGGACAATATGTATTATAGTATACACAGTTCAGTTAGTTTCTGTTTTCTTTACTTATTAAGTAAATATCTGACTTTCCCCTCCAGTGTTACAAAGTTTTTGGCTCTAGAAATGAAGATAGAGTAATGTGGATTCCTGCTCGTAGAACTTGTGTAAAGTTTGGTGGAAACCTGGCTAGCATACCTGATGAAAAAGTGCAAGGTACAGTAAATAGATCCATTTTTCAATAAAAAGATCCATTAGGGATTAGATGGGATAGCAATCAATTCCAGCAAAGAAAAGAATAGCAGAAAAGAGGTGTGTGCATTATATTATCTCTTCCTGTTATTCTCCTGGTGAAACTGTTAATGAACCTTCCTTCTAAGGCTGTGTCTACACTACAAAGAAAAGTCGGAAAAAGGCACGCAAATTGCGAAATGCAATTTGCATATAATTTTCTGCTTTTCTTCCAAAAGAGGCTTTTCTGACATTTGGCCCATCTATACACGGCCAAATGTCAGGAAAAAAAACCCTTTCAGAACATCCCTGCTTCCTCATAAAACGATGTTTACAGGGATGCCAAAAAAACACGTCTGCTTTTACAAAACTTTTTTTGGAAAAGCAGATGCATTCCTTGGACATGGCAAAGCCTTTCCAGGATTCCTCCAGTATCCCAGAACAGCACTGTAGTCTAGACATACTCTAAGAAATATATGTTTTGTTAATACCTAAAAGTCCTTCATTATACCTGCCAAGCTTACCCCATATTCTCATACCACACCAAATGGGATGTGGTTTAGTCTAGTGGTAGACTAGTAAAAAAAAGGCAGGTAAATTAACTGAAACTAAACTTAGGCTATATTGCCACTGCCACTTATATTGATATATTGTATTTCATTCAGAGGTGTGAATAAGCAAACCCCTTCCCCACCTAGTAACATAAGTTACACCTACCTAAGCAAGGGTATGTCTATACTACAGCACTAATTCGAACTAACTTAATTTGAATTAGTTAATTCGAACTAAGCTAATTTGAACTAGTCCATCTAGACCTAAAAACTAGTTCGAATTAGCATTTTGCTAATTCGAACTAGCATGTCCACATTGAGTGGACCCTGAACCTAGGTTAAGGATGGCCAGAAGCAGTGCCGGCAGGGCATCAGATTAGGACTTAGAGCGTGGAGCTGCTGTCTTAGGCTAGCCGAGGGCTGTGCTTAAAGGCACCCGACCCCCACCCCGGACAGACAGTTCTCAGGGGTTCCCCGCTTGCAAGCAGTCCTAGCTTGGAGTGCCCTGAGTGCCCACACTTGGCACATCACTGCACTCGACCATCAGCCCGGCTGCACTTGCCGCACGCCGCCATCCGGGGGGTGTCTATCGGGGCGCTGCAGGAGAGCTTCCACCCCGAGGAGCCCACAGAGCCACCCCAGTCCTCCCCATTGGGGGCTCGTATCCCATTCCTCCCTAACCTCCTTCCACTTACCCCTCCCTAGCCCCGCTTCCTGATGTACAAAATAAAGGACACGTGTGTTCAAAAATAGAAACTCTCTTTATTGAACAAAACTCGGGGAAACTGGGAAAAGGAGGTGGGAGGGGGAAGAGAG